CGCCTAGGGCGTCAAATTGGCTAGAAACGGCCCTGGACACAGGACAGAGTTAGGATTGCAGCCTTACTTGTAATTTACTGTAACAAAGAAAACGTCTCGGGTTACTCGCATTACCCATGTTCTCTGAATAGGGAAGGAGATGCTGCGTAGCTATGATGCAATGGGAACGCCCCTTGGGTGTGCCAATTATCTGAAGCCCATATGGAATCACACCAATTCATTGGCTGATGGCTCGGATGCCACTACGTCACCCACTCTAATACTAGTGAACCAGGAGCTGCATCTAAATCCAAGCTATAAAACCTGATAAAAGGACCATCCTGCTGCCACACAGATATCCTCCAGGGGAACTCCTCTGACACAGAGATCAGGAACGACCCGATGAAGCTGAAGCCGTGGGTTTATCTGAGCGCTTCAGCTCAATCCGCTTATGTGGGTGCTAACGGGTCGAAAGATGGCCGCAAACTTCCCAAACCATAAGAGGTCCTGCTAACGGGCTCCTTCCTAAGCGCGGAGCGGTCTCTGGGCACAGAGGCAGGGTTGGACGAATTGCGGGCCCTCCTGGGCATGAACTGCTTAAGGGCAGCTGACTGAGTCTTGGCAGCACAGAATTTGTCCATCACCGAGCTAACCGCCTCGCCGGACAATCCCGACTGCGAGATGTGGGCATTGAGGAGAAAAACTTTCCCCTTCTCACTTATTTCCGTGAGATTTAGCCAGAAGTGGCGCTCGGCAGCCACCAACCCCGCCATTGTACGCCCAACTGCGCGTGCAGTGTGCTTAGTTACATGCAGCACCATGTCCGTAGCCCTATGGAGCTTTTTGACCGCTTCTGGAGTCAGGCCCCCCCTCCCTCGTCCATCTTCTTCAGGACATCAGCTTGATAAGCCTGAAGGATGGCCATGGTGTGAAGCGCCATGCCCGCCTGACCAGCCGCCATGTAGGACTTTCCGATGAGGGCGGAAGTGGTCCTACACGGCTTAGTTGGGAGGAGAGGGCGTGACTTCCATGAGGGGGTCGAAGACAGCAAGAGGTGAGAGGCCAGCGTGCTCTTGGTCGCCGGAATAGCGGCATAACCCTGCTCCACAGAACCCACTAGGTTGGTGAAATCAGCGGTCGCCGTGTTAGTTAGGCGAGCAGAGAAAGTTTGATTCCAGGATCTGGAGATTTTGTGAGGCAGATCACTGAAAAACGACACGGTTTATACGGCCACTCAAGATTAAGCTTTACGGTAGCACACGCTAACACGTCCACTAGCTCAGTAAAGGCCGTAGAAGGCCACGCCTCCTGGCCTCTAGGCGGGAGAGCGTCAACTGAAGCGGGCCCGAAATCTTAAGAGTCGGATGCCATGGTGTACAAAATATAATAAAACCCGAAGGAAACAGCCTCACGTGCCTCCGGGCTGGGACATAAATAATCGTGGACAACTCCACCGGCGAATCCGTGCGAGAGCACTCAGGCGAGAGAGGGAGAGAAAAGGCGAGGCCTGTCTGCTCACTCTCTATAGCCTCGAGCTCCATATCCGAACCCCAGGAGGCGAATTCACGGAGGGCCTCAGCAGCCAATGGGGGATAATGGATGAGTCCTTCTCAAAAAAACGCAAGCCTCACGCAAAGAGTTTTGAGACAGAGATTCTCACAAAATTTACAGTTAGAAGTGCCGTAAAAAGCCTTACACGTGAGAAAAACCCATACATTCAACACACGTACTGTGCGGGTTGTCGCTCGCGAAAAAGCAAGAGCATGGCGGCTGGCAGCGACGAAACTCCTTAGCACTTCACCGCGAGGAGAAACGAGGTTTCACTGAATGCATTCGCTGAAGTGCAAAAGAGAAACTCAAAGAAATAAACCGAAACATGAGCCAGATAAATCGCTTCTGAAGGGCTAAACAACCGCTTCTGAAGGAAGAAAATCTGAGGAGCGGATGGCGTGGTCTCAGTGTTAGAGTGGGTGACGTAGTGGCGTTGAGGTGGAGCCCATGCCATTGGCATGATTCCATTCGGGCTTCAGACAATCGGCACACCCAAGGGGCATTCCCATTGCGTCATAGCTATGCAGCGTTGAGTGAAACTATGAAAGAGAACACCTTCCTCTGTATTGAGCTATTCTAATAGTGACCAAAACCAGTTAAACTACAGCAAACTGTGAAGAGCATGCAGATTATTGTCTTAGGTTCCTTTGGGTGGGCTCCACTTCAAGGCCGTAGAGTCAATAGTCTTGTTGCTTCCACGTTTTGCCTCTTTGGTTTTCCAATCATCAATCAGATCCTAAAAATCATTCAACCATTTAAATGCATTAAAAACACAAAACGTAATCAAAATAACAAACTTGTAATTAATGTAAACAGTCTGTTGCTAAACTACATACATTACATTACAATTACAGTTACCTGTCTTTTTAGGATCAGATGCTTCCCTTTCCAGTACTTCAGCATCTGGAGTGACTGTAAAGTGCTGACAATGTCTACAGGGTTGACAGCTGTTTCTTGGCTGATTTCTGCTCCCAAGTGTTAAAATATGACAAAGAATGAAAACAATTATTCATACTATTAAGGAACACTGTTCAAAAGTTTATGGTCTGTAAGATGTTTTTAATGGTTTTGAAAGAAGTCTTATGCTCACCAAGGCTGCATATTTATTTGATCACAAATACAGTAAATATAGTGAAATATTATTGCAATTTAAAATAACTGTTTTCTATATGAATACATTTTAAATGTAATTGATTTACTCCAGTCTTCAGTGTCACATGATTCTTCAGAAATCATTCTAATATGTTGATTTGCTGCTCAAGAAGCATTTCTTATTTATGCTGCTAAAAATGTTGTGGAAACCATGATACATTTTTTCAGGATTCTTTGATGAATAAAAAGAATACAATATAAATCTTTTGTAACATTATAAATGTCTTTATTGTCACCTTTGATCAATTTAATGCATTTTTGCCAAATAAAATAATTTATTTTTAAATAATTAATAAAAAAATCTTACAAACCTTAAAAAAGAAGTAACCTTTAAAGAAGTGAACATAACACTAAGTACCTTTAATGGAGATCTCTTTGCCCTGGAAGTTGTGCAGGTAGCGCAGGAGCACTTCTTTCCAGTAACTCCTGTAACTGATGAGTCCCAGGTCAGAGAGAGGCCGTTCAGGGGAGCCAACCTTCTCCTCTACTTTGGACAGCAAATAACCTGTGCAGACACAAGCCATTCACACCTTAACACGTTCACGTCTTCCATTAATTGCGGCATCAAAAAGTGCACATGACCACATAGTAAAAGAGCTATTCCAACATATTCTTAAGGTTTTTTTTAAGACAAAGTGACTTTAACATCACCATTTGCAATCTTGTTTAAGCTTAACACAGTAATGACAACTAACAGCTATAAAAAGTATCCAAATGATCTAGATCTACTGAACTCACTGAAATCAATCAGCATCTTGCCATAACCCTGCCTCATATACTGTGGCATGGTCAGGATGCAGGAGACATTGTAGTTCAGGAATGAATTCTTTTCCTAAACCCAGATATGTATTTTGATTACTACAAAATAATCACTTGCAAGGTAACTGAAGCTTAAGGTGCACTGGAGTAACTAACAGAGCACCTTGGAGAAGTATCCTACAAGATGGCAGCCGGTATTGTCCGCTTCAGTCATCACATAGAAGAGGAACGGCTCCACATCGTAGTACAAAGTTTTGTGGTCCAGGAAGAGTTTGGCAAGGAGGCACAAGTTTTGACAATAAATCTGCAAAAGGCAAATGACAGTGTCAAAGCAGAATCAGGTACTGATTGCAAATTACTGACCTGCAGATAACCAATACAAAGTTGTTAAATAAAATAAAGAGTCCTTTTGGAATGTCTTTGTTCTTGCCTTGTTCTTCTTGCCGTCCACTTCAAAAACAGATATAGCCCCTTTCCTGTAAATCTCATCACCTGGTGGATGTTTCCACACACATTTGGCCTGATTGAAAGTGAAATAAGAAAGGCGTATGTGTGAATGCAAAAACACACTCCTATCAACATTATGATTCAAGGCTGGACAAAACTTAAGAATCAGAAATGAAGAATTTAGAAGTTTGAAAATGAACTGAACATGTTGAAAGAGTTACCATGTGACGTCGCAGAATGGTCTGACTCTTCATGTATTTGAGGCAGAACTCGCACATGTAGAGGCGGCCGAGGCGGGCGTACTCTTCGGGGTACGGCGAGTGGTACCAGGTGTCCAACTCATAGCGGCCAAACACAATGGTCTTTATCATGTTGCCGCCCTCCGTGACCTGTCCCTGCAGCCGAAGTTTTTCCTGCAAGGACCAATGAAGGGTGGGAGAAACACAGGTCTGACTGGAGGGAATGACGACATAGAGATAGAAGGAAAAAATCCTGAAGCCTACCGCTGAAGATTCATTCATGAATGAGGAGGTTGAGGACGAGATCGAGAGATACACTGCTATTGAAAAGTTTGGGGACAGTAAGATTTTTTTTTTTAAAGAAATGAAAACTTTTATTCAGCAAGGATGCATTAAATTGATCAAAAGTGACCGTAAATACATTGATAATGTTACAAATGATTTCTATTTCAAATAAATGCTGTTTCTTTAAACTTTCTATTTATCAAAGAATTCATGTGACACCGAAGACTGGAGTAATGTCTGCAAAAAATTCAGCTTTGTCATCACAGGAATAAGTTGCAATATATTAAAATAGTAAACAGTCATTTAAACAGTTCTAAATGATGTTCTTGGTGAACATAAGAGACTCCTTTCAAAAACCTTAAAAAATAATACTGATCCTCAAACTTTTGAATGGAATTGTACATTTTCAGAGACTGTACTAATAAATAAACAGAAGACAATGTAGAAATTTAAGAGTTAAATTAAAAGTTAAGATAGAAATGAGCTGGAGAAAATAAGAAGGTGAATTAATGTCTACCCAAGATTATTGTTCCCTTTCAAGGGAACTTCGAACTGCGTCCTCTAAGGGTCGCTATGGGGAACGCCTCGTCGTGACCCGTGTCTGAAGCATACATTGAAAAAAACACCAACAACACGTTGGCCGGCGACAGCCATGACGTCACTACCGGTGCGAATATAGTATACATTTTTAGTATAAAAGTTTTGTTTGAAGTGTGCATTTCTGTGGTAAGAGCGATCTCTATTCATATCATTATGGCGAGCACTAGCAAAGTGTTTAGAGGATGTGTGCATCCGTGTCGTCGTTATTTGACATCTGATGACACACACAATCTATGCGTTGTTTGTTTAGGTGAAGAGCACGCACGCGATGTCCTCGAGGGGGCAATCGGCGTGCACTGCGAGCATTTTCCAATGAAAAAGCTCCGCTCTCATTTCTCTTTTTTTGAGGAAAGAGGGGCAGCCATCTGCTTCCCGCGATTCAGGACCCGCCGCTGCCGAGGCACGGAGGAGAATGAGCTCATGGGGATCGCAGGTGGATCTGGCTGATGAGTTTAAAGAGGGGTTTTCCCTCTCGCGACCATCGGTTGTGGACGAGAGTGAGCCGCTGGAGGATGATGTTATTTCATTAACATCGTCTGATCCAGGGGCCAGTGCTCTGCTGAGTTCAGCCCAGGAAGAGCAGGAAATGTCTGAGGAGGGCGAAGAAGCTGAGG